AGTTACTTCTGTTAAAAATAAATATGCTAACCTTACTGTTGACGATGATATGGACACTAATATTATAAGTTTGCAAAACTCCCAAGAATTACCACAAGAGGGTTCTGCTAAACCATATAAAACTTTAAAGCGAATTCCACAAATCATTATTTCTGGATTGCAGGAGTGGAAGCTCATTTGGGACAAAATAAAAGAGTTCACGCTGCAAATGGATTGCGTTCAAAAAAGGGAGGAGACATCCATATAAAACTGAAGATATATGATGATTACAGAAAAACCACTGACTATGTTGGCGAAAAAGTATATATCTTACTATGCTTTCCCGTTACCAGCAGAAAAAACCATTACAGTTGTTATAAAACAACTTCCGGCTCTCACCAAAATTGAGGACATTAAAGAAGAATTAATTGCTAATAAAATTCCTGTTGTTTTAATTCGTCAAATTACCAAAAGGTTGATTGAGAAATAGTCAAATTACCGACTTTTGTCATTGAAACGGAACGTAACTTAGCTGGCTAAAGCATCTATAAAATCAAAGACATACTTGATTTAGGTGCAACAATCTCAAGATTTAATAACACCCCTAGACCAAAGCAGTGCTATAATTGCCAGCGTTATGGATACAGCAAGGCTCATTGTGATCACCCTACGCGTTGCCTAAAATACGGAGAGAACATACCACTTTTGCGTGTAAAAAAGATAGATATTTGCCGGGCAAGTGCTGTCTATGCGGCGGGCCTCATATTTCTTCACATTGTGGATGTGAGAAGCATCCAGACAATATTAAGCAACTTAAAGCACAAAAGGATGCAGAAAAAGAAAATCGAAGATGGAAAAAACCACCGATCAACAACATTGAAAATTTTCTACTGTATCCACCAAAAGCCTCACCCAGAATAGCAATACTCAAGATCCAACAGAGTAGCTCCGCCCGGGAGTTCATTTCGTAGCTCAAAAATCTCTTCGAAAAGGGAAAATCACTATTCGAACGATTTATTAAAAGTAAATCTCTAATAGAAAAACTACAAGTTGGTTTCAAAGCCTTTGAACTGCTATTAAACTTAAATTATTGATTTTAGACCTTACAATAATTATACTAATATCCAAATAACTTCACCAAGTAGTTTAAATATTGCTTACTTCAATGGTAATGGTATTAGATATAAAAATCTTAGGTTACTGAATTTTCTAAAACATCATGATATCGACATTTCTCTTGTGAACGAAACACTTGAATCCCAGCGATAAATTCAGGATACAGGGCTATAAAACTTATCGCTCTGATAGACATCATAAATGCGGAGGCGGTTCTCTTATTCTTGCCAAGAACCACCTCCAGACTACTCCTTATATTCTCACTAGTCATACTACCATTGAGAATACTGCAATTATTATACATTCTCGTACAAATGATCCTCTTGTTTTAATTGCTGCTTACAATCATTCATGCAATATTATTATAATGATCTACTTGGATTCATTAATGTCCCTCACCCTGTTATTGTTGCTGGGGATTTTAACTGTAAGCATCCTCACTGGAATTCTCGCAGAACTAACAACAATGGAAACTTCCAGTATAATTTTTCTCTTACTAATGATATTAAAATTATTGGTTCTAATCATCCCACTAGATATCATTATACAGGTACGGGTGAAATTCTTGATATCATTCTTACTAAAAATGTTCAACAAACTTCTTATTTACAAGTTATCCACCAATTACAATCTGATTATCTTCTTGTCAAATTTACTTATTATGGATTTGAACAATCTTTACCTCTTAAAAAGTCACAGACTGGTGTATATTTACTTATTACTTAGGAAACATTCCTGCTCATCCTGCTTTATCTGACATCTCCCATATTGAAGAACAGATCAGTAGGATTAATACCAAAATCCACAATGCCCTTGAGAAATCTACCTGGTTGGAAGAATTCAAGAAAAAAAAAACATCCTAATTGTATCATTGAAAAAATTAAAAGATAAAAACAGAACTGCTAAACTTTAGCGTCGTACAGCAGATCCTACTCTTAAAACAATACTTAACAGAAAGAAAAAGAGAGATACACACTCTTTTAAATGATTATAGCTCTGAAACTTGGGATGATCTTTTAGACATAATACATATTTACCATACCACGGTGTGGAAAATTTCTAAAGCCTTACGTAAAAATAAAGATTACAACATCGGCCCACTTAACACTCCTAATGGTCTAATATACTCCGAAAAAGCTATATCTGAAGTCTTGGCTTCCCATCTGGAAAACACCTTCAAAAATTACAGCATTAGTGACAGTGGAAGAAGGGAGAGGTTTACAACTTTAATTTTTATCTTTCTGAAGACACCGGCACTGTACATATGAATCTTACTTCTACAACTGAAATTTAAAATATTATCAAAAGACTTAAACCTAGAAAATTCCCTGACTTTGATGGTATTTCAAATCAAGTTCTCAAAGCTCTTTCTATTAATTACATTGTTTTGATTACTAATATCATTAACGCCTGCATGTGCCTTACCTATTGTTAGGAGATAGTATTTCATGCCTCTTTATTTCCTAACATAAGAAGTACAGAACAAGAAAAAAATATTTATTAATACAAGAACGTAAGTGATGTCATTCACAAAAGGGTAATGTTATTTTTAATAGTTCGCTGGCTTTGCCACAACATACTCCCCACCCTGGTCAACATCCCGGGGGATGACCAGCTGACAGGTCGGGTAATGGTATGTCCATTGTCCATTGTGCGCAGACACAGTACGGACTTTTTGTCGCGGCCAAGGATTAGCTCCTCAACACGGGCCTTTTCCAGGTGTGGCGAGGTCTAACATCTTGTGGTAGGACAATGGATCCCCTTTCCGTATTTTATTTGTTTCAGATGGATTCCGCACTTGATGAAATGTACGCAAGTCCATCAAATATTCCTTTTGCCATCTTTTCCCATCAAATGAAATGACGATTTTTCCACATATGATTTAAATTTTTTTTTCAGGATTTGTGGGGCTGGAAGGAATAGTAGGTTAATTTCTTTCCTATGAGGAAGTGCGAGGGTGTTAAAGCTTCCTCAGAGTCATCTTTTATTCCATATTCGTGGACAATCGGTCTACTGTTAAGAGCGGCTTCAATATCACATAATACAGTGATCAAACCAGCGTCATCCAAAAGAGCCTTACCTAATATTTTCCGAAGGCGTCGCTTAATTGTGTTTATCATTTTTTCCCACCATCCTCCCCACCAAGCCGCTCGTGGGGGGGATGAATTTCCATTTGATGTTGTGGTGGGCATAAAAACTGTTGTGCCTTGGCAGAGGATATAGTATCCCACAATAACTTCAGCTCTTTGTCCGCAGCGCAGAAAGTTGTGGCATTATCAGTGTACACTGTATGAGGAAGTGAACGTCTAGAGACAAAACGTTGTAATGCAAGTAGGAAGACGTCAGTACGCAGATCGGAAACTAATTCTAAGTGGATAGCTCGAGTTGTAGCACATGTGAAGATGACAATGTAAGCTTTTGTAACGGAGTTATTATTTTTTACGTAGAGTGGTCCAGCAAAATCAATTCCGGTAGTTTCGAAAGGAGATGACTTTTGAATTCGCTCAGCTGGTAATGGAGCTTCTATCTGTTCACTTCTCTTTTGTTTCAGTACTTTACATGGAAGGCAAGTCTTTATCACTTTTTTAATGGCTTGTCTTGCTCTTAATATCCAATATTCTGAACGAAGCTGAGAAAGTACAATCCGAACACCGAGATGATGCATTCGTAAATGTGTTTGGCGTATCAGTAGGCTTGTAAAATGATGACAACCTTCCAATAATATGGGATGTTTTTCAGCATGAGATAAATCAGAAAATTGTAGTCGACCACCAAGAAGTATAATATTGTTCTTGAAGAAAGGGTTAAATTGTTTTTATCCTTGATTTCTTAGGGAGTGATTTTCCTGTCAACAGAGCTTCATATTCTGAAGGAAAGGATTCTTTCTGAACGGTCTGTATCCAATAAATACGAGCTTGATTCAGTTCTGTGGCATGTAACTCACCCACTAACTTTTCTTGTTTCCTACAGTTGTGAATAAAGCGAAGAATCCAAGATGTTACACGTAACAATCGAACGTAAGAACTGTAGTTTCCAGCCTTTATGATTGGTTGAGTAGATACGATGTGAAGGGTCTGAACTTTTTCTTTCTTTGCCTCGAAGTTATGACTGTAATCTTTAGAAATAGTATCAGAATGAGGCCAATATTCTAGAGATTTGACTAACCATGGAGGGCCGTTCCACCAAATTTCCAGGTTTTTTAGTGTTGATGGTGAAACACCTCGAGAAAGTTTGTCAGCTGGATTGTCTTTGCCAGGGCAATGTCTCCATTGTGAAGGATTGGTATAGGAAATAATTTCTGTTACTCTGTTGCTAACAAAAGTTTTCCATTTGTTGGGGTCACTGCGTATCCACCCTAAGACAACTTGAGAATCACTCCACAATGTTGCATTTGACGAACAGATGTTTGTTTCAGCACAGAAATATTGCAACAATCGTGCTCCCATCAGGGCCGGCCAAGAGCTCCAAACGAGGTAAGGTAACTTTCTTTATAGGAGCTAGTTTGTTGCGACTACACACTAAATTCACATTCGATTGGTCACCTTTAAAGGTAACAATGTACAGAACTGAACCATAGGCACGTTCAGATGCGTCACAAAACACATGAATAGCAAAAGGAACATGTGATGAAATGCCCTATGCATCGAGGAATTTGAAGGGAGCAAATGTCATCAAGTTCTTTCACAGCTGCATACCATAAAGTTGATAAATTAGCAGGTAGTAATTCATCCCACTTGATTCCAAGAATCCATGTATCTTGGAATAAGATTTTCCCAAGAATAGTAAACGGTGAAAAAAGGCCTAAGGGATCATAAAAACTAGCAATGCAGCGGAGTAACCATCTCTTTGTAAGTGGTTTGTCTGTAGAAACACAGAGGGAAGTCTTGAATGCATGCTTCAAAGTATCAGAAGTTTGTATTCCAGCCAATACCTAAGACAGTTGTTTCCGTTTTGTGAGATTCTTCATGTGTTTGTAGTACATCTTTGAGTTTCAAAGAGTTTGTAGCCCATTTTTCCATAGGCAATTTCATTAGAGCCATTAAATTCTTGATCTCGTGATATAGCATTATAATGCGTGATTCAGTTTCCATACTAGCAAGAAAGTCATCCATATAGAGATGTTTATCTATCATTGGTGCAGCAATTGGAAATTCTGCGATATGTTTTGCAGCCAATTCTCGTGTCGCAGCACAGAGTAAAAACGGACTGCAAGTAAGGCCAAATGGTAAACGAGTAAATCTGTAAACAGTTATTTCATCTGTAAAAGTAGTAGGTTGAGATGAATCAGATTTTAATTTGTACCAGAAAAATTTTGTGACGTCCCTATCTTCTTTATGTAGTGACAACTGTAAAAAAGCTTGCTTACCATCACATGTAACAGCGAATTCATGCAATCGAAATCTTAGTAGACAACCAATAGATTCAGGAAGAAGATTCGGGCCAGCTTCCAAGGTATCGTTCAGTGAAATCATTCCTGGAGCATGCGAGGAAGCATCAAACACAATTCTCCACTTGGTTTCAGATTGCGTTTTCTTTCTTACAGCATGATGAGGAAGGTAATATACTGGCTTCTCATTGGATTCATCTATGGAACAAACTTCAACATGCTTTTGTTCAATGTAATTCAGCATGCATTTGTCATATTGTGTCTTTAACACATCACTAGATGCAAGTCTTTTTTTGAAGAGAATGAAATCTGTTTTCCGCTATAATTTTGTTTGTAGGCAAAGGTGTGACCAATGGTTTTCTAGGCAGAGACACAATTCTTCGATTGTCTTCAGTGTTGTAAGTTTTGTGAAATTCTGATAAAATTTCTTCATCTCGAGTAGTCATTTTTCGTTTCTGCGCATCTTGTATCCCTATGGAGTCTAATTCCCAGAAGCGACGTACCTGATCATTTAAACAATCAGTTTTAACTTGCACACAAACTTGATGGACAGAAGTCTTCTCAGCGATTGTAGTATGTGTTCTTGTTCCACTAAGAACCCATCCAAACACTGACGGTACCATAACAAAAGATTCTGAAAGCTTGATTGGAGCTTCTGTGGAAACAATTTGCCAATAATGATCACCACCAATAAGTATTTCTATGGGCAGTGAAGAGTCATCCGGAGGATCAGCAATTCTCAATCTTTTCTTCTGAGCAAAGTGAACTATTTCTGGTGGAGCAGCAGTAGGATGTGTAGTATAGGAATTGGAGCTTTCAAATGCGGAGATCAAAAATGCTTGGTTGCTCCACAAACTTGAAAGTGACAGTTGAACACATCTACGTTGTTCTTGTGAAGTAAAAGATTCAAATGCTTGAACTGAAAGTGAGGCAGAACTGACAACTTTAAGCTTAAGTTTTTCAATGAGGTTTGTGTGAACAAAACTTGCTTGGCTACCACCATCTAAAATGCAGCGTGTTAATTTAGTAATGCCTGTGGGGCCAGTAACATACACACGAGCAGTTTGCAAATGTGTGAAAATTGTTTTAGGAAAGGTTATGTGATTTACAGCACTGTTAGTTATCCGCAGTTGATTGTTTTCAACAGGAGGACAAATAGAAACATGATGCCTTTTCTTGCATTTAGTGCACCGTGCAGTATTTTTTCTTGGGCAGTTTGAAACTCTATGACCACGGTTAGTACACAGAAAGCAGCGATTTGAAGTTTTAAGTTTCTGAACACGAGTATCATAGTCTGTAACAGTTTCACAATATTGAGGCCAATGTCCTGTAGTATCACAAAATGAACAAAATGGTGAAATTTTCTTACGTTTGTTTACTGTTTTGGAATTGATATTAAAATTTTCTACAGTGCACTTTACGGTGTGATCAGAAAAAGACGTACCTTTAACTCTTTGTGCTGCAACTACACCTTCCACTTCTTCTGCCAAGAACTGCATCAATCTAGTAATATTACCTTCGTTTAGTTTTTCACGCTTGGCATAGATAATCCAGCGGCAACAAATATCATTGGGGAATGCACGAATAATTTTTGGCACTAGGATTCTACCGTATGCTTCAATATTTTCACCCAGAGCAGTTAAAGCTTGAATTCTTCTGTTACATTCTATGTAAAGATCATTTAGATGCGTAGGAGATGGGTCTTGAATAACATTTAAATGTTCTAAGTAATCTAAGTGTGATTGGATAATTCGATCTTTATTTCCATATCTTTCCTCCAACAATTTTTTTGTTGTTTCATAGGTGTCTCCTATTACACTAATTCCATCAACAAGGCGTTTAGCTTCACCATCTAAATAACCTCTGAGGAAAACATGTTTATCAATAACAGAAAGATGTGGATTGGCATCTATAGAAGATTTAAACTGTTCCCAAAAACATTGCCACTGTTCAATTTCTCCTGTAAATGACTGTAGTTTAATTGTTGGCAATTTAACTGTATATGGTTGAGTCATAGGCACTGTAGTAGGAGGGTCGCCAAATGTCATCGCTAAATCATTGGTATCCATATTCGAAGCAGTAACATTATTTGCAGTTGGCGATAATTTATTTTGAATAATTTTTCGTGCTTTGAAAATTGCGGATTCACCAGTATCTATGTAGTTTTCACACTGCAAATTATCACTTTCATATTCATCGTCAGAAAGGAAGTTGTGAATTTCGTTATCTATTAGTTTCATATCATTTAAAGCAGTTGTTAAGCGATTACAAATATATTCAACTTTCTCAATTGAGAAATCATCGTTCAAAGTATCAATTTCAGTAGAAAAGCGAAGAAACATTACTTCGCACGGCTTTCCGCTTTCGTTTCATTTGTGACATTTTGTCTACACCTTCACCGGTTGGCGCCATTGCCCGAGTAGTAGAAAAGAACAAAAAACAAAACTAAGTTTTAACGTCGGAAGTAGAATAATTCAGCAAGAATAATCCAACAGTAGGAAGTATAAGTTCCTGTTTCGTAAATGGATTTTTAGGCACCAGATATTAGGAGATAGTATTTTATGATTATTTATTTTCTAACATAAAAATAAGGTATAGAACAAGCAAAAACATTTATGAGTACAAAAACGTAAGTGATGCCATTCACAAAAGGTTAATGTTATTTTTAATAGTTTGCTGGCTTTGCCGCAACACCTATTATCTACAGCAATGGAAGCATGCTAGCAATATCACCTTTCTCAAACCGGGTAAAAAATCCCAAGGAACCAAATTCCTGTCGTCCAACCAGCTTCTTGCCTAGTATTGGAAAAAAAAAAAAATTAACGTGTTCCCAAAAGAGACTGAGAATAAAAAGAGTTCTGTTCTGTTCTATGCATTATTGAAAATGAGCAATTTGTATTTAGACCAGTAAATAGCACTGTTCATCAACTTTTATATATTGTTACGAATTTGGTACTTAAAAAGCTAATGTTAGTTCAATTATAAATTAAATGGTTTTCTTTCTCGCGCAGTGCAGCGCGTGACGAATATTAAAAGAAAGCTAAGCCGGAAAATTGAAAATACAAGAGCGCGTGCATTAAATAAGTAAATATCTCTTTTTGATTTCGAGAAAGTACTGGAAAATTCTAGCGCGTGATTTTAAAATGTTTATAAAAGGAGGAAAACATCTCAGTTTGTAGTAGTTGCTTAGTTTGTTGTTGTTTAGAAAACTGCTCTTGTCGATTATAGCGAATTCGCGGATTAGCGTTCTTTAGCTGTTTTGAATTAAGTTCTATTGGACATTTGAGTAGTTAAAAGATAACTACTGTGAGATATTGTAATACTGCATGATAATTTGAGAAAATTTAAGCATTTTTGTTGTGATAATAATAAATTTTTGTTCCTTTTTCATCGGACTTGTGCATTCAATTTCATAACGAACCCGTACGCACGCAACAATTTTTGGTGTCAGCGGTGGGATTTGAATGCCAATTCACAAGAGCGATGGAAGAGCAATTAAGACAGCTCGATTATCAGCCTTTGCTGCATTTAAAGAGGAAATGAAAACAGGTCAAGAAGAGATGAAAGAGGAAATGAAATCTAATCAGGAAAAGATTGAAGCGGGACCAGGATTAGAAATGAAAGACAGGGAATCAGGAAAGAAATTATGAAATTCTTTCAAGAAAAGATGGAAGCTGGTCAAAAAGATAAGAGAATCCGTTAAAAAAAGAGAGGAAATCTGTTCAAATCTATTAAAGACGATATAAATGGTGTTCATGAAAGCAGGTCAAGAAGGAAATGAAAAGAGAAATTACCTGCGTAATAGAAAACAAATTCGAAGGCTATAGAAGGTAGAATAGACTCTGTCGAAAGTAAGGTTGGAGAGAAATTGAAGAAAGAGTCTTCCTCCGTTAAAGAACAAATAGAAGGGAACAGTTTCTGCTGTGAGGAACGAATTGAAGGAAGAGTTTGTGCCGTCCAACACCAAATCGAACAACAAATTGATGATAGGGTTTCTGCAGTAGCCAAAGAAGTGGATATTTTTAAAAAATTCGTAGCGACGGTAGGGAACAATAGTGATGGCTTTAAATTTCTACCCATGCCTGCTCGTCCCTCTCTGAAGTTATCTACATATGATGGAAAGACCTCCTGGCAGGTGTATAAAACACAATTTTCTATCGTTGAGGATGCGAATGGATGGGATTCCCAAGCTAAGGCCTGTCATCTCGCCGCTTCTTTAAGAGCCGACGCAGCGGATATCCTTCAGACTCTTCCCGAAAACAAAAGGTTAGATTTCGAAGCTCTGTCCGGCGCCTTGGAGCTGCGCTTCGGGGAGAAATGTTTAAAAAGACTACAGCAGGCTCCAATTAAAATCCCGTCAACAGAAGCTCACCGAAACACTTCAGGAGCTCGCCACGGATGTTGAAAGGCTGTCACATCACGCCTTTTCGGAGTGCCCGACAGAAACAAGGGAAATCCTGTCCCTGCAATATTCATCGATGGAATCCGGGATCCCTGAAATACAGAAGGCTCTACGAATGGCAGATGTTAAAGGATGTAAAAAGCGCTCTGTTGTACGCCGTGAAATTGGAGGCAGCCCAGCAAGCAACTCTAGAAGATCGCTACCCAGTCAGAGCTCTGTTAGTCCACGAGCCAGTGGACCACTTGATGGCTCGTTTAGATGATTTATCCAGACAAGTCGATGATTTGATACGGAGTAGCAGTGAGAACAAAGTGGCTGTAAGGCTTTGGAGATGTGGTTCTGAAGGTCACCTACGACGGCATTGCAGAACACCCCACGGCTAATAAAACGCATGAGTTGACAAGACCAATGAATGCTTTAAGACGGAATAGTGGTGAAAAGAAACCGACCCTGAAGTGCTGGAATTGCGGTGTTGAAGGCCACCTACGAAGGAACTGCAAGAACTCCCCAGAGCACGGAAAATAAGGCATACGATTTAAACAGACAATTAAATGCCACGGGAAGGAAAAGGACTGACAAGAAACCAAAGTGCTGGAACTGTGGAGCTGAAGGCCACGTACGAAAGAACTGCAGAAACCCCAGGGTACGAAAATTGAGACAATTTCCCAGCAACGACGCAGGAAAAAAATTAATGACCATATCAAGGAACGGAGGTTGCCAGATAATGAAAAAACCTGTTTTAAAGCGCTTAAGATTCTACAGTGAGTGGCAACAATAACGGACTGTCCATCAATGGGAATATCGATGGAGTTCCTTGCAATATGATCATTGACACAGGAGCTAATGTTACCATCATTAGGAAAGATTTAGCTGAACAGTTAAAGATAAACTTATTTGGAAGCCATCCTGTGTTACCCTTCAGACTGTGTCTGGTGACAAGATCGACATAGCTGGGAAGTTAAACGTGAAACATCACGTTTTGGAAGTGCCGCCTACCATCCACACGGCATTATGTGGAGGAATATTACAGATCCATGCATACTCGGATTGGACTTTTTAATCGGATTGGACAATACAATTTTCCTTAGACTTCAAAAACAACAAACTGCTTTCAGCAATCTGATGGACATGACTATCCATCCTCAAAAGGGATCCTCGCCTGGAAATGCCGACGCCTTGTCCGAAAGAACCCTAGCTCGGGAAGCTGCCGAAATCATACTAGGGTCGAAAAGAAACGCAAGACTACCAGCTATTCTCCATCCCAGAAGCTCTTTGGTCGAGACCTTCGTCTGTCTTGTGACCGCCTGTTTGATCGCCCTACGGATGCGCCTTCATCGCCTGAGGAATGTATCCAAGATGCTCCAGGCCCGGTTTGAAGTGATGCACCGTTCTGCACGAAAGCGAGTCAACTTGGCGACGGAGAAAATGAAGACCAGATGTGACACAAGAGCTACTGGCATAGATCCAACAAAGGAGACAAGGTGTGGTTGTGGAACCCGATTCAACGAAAAGGACTTTGTCCTAAATTACAGTCACCTTCGGGATGGTCCATATACAGTGCCTGAAACAGGCTGAATGACGTCGTTGGTTCGGATCCGTAGTCTTCGAACTCTAAAGTCGTTCACGACAGGTTAGCTCATTACTATGGCCATAGTACATAATGTAAATAATTGTAAATAGTATAAGACCATGGTCCATTTTTGTTTTTAAATGTGTATTTGATTTGATTTGTATTTAGTATTTGATTTGCATTTAGTATTTGATTTGTATTTGCATTTAGTATTTGATTTGTATTTGATAGCATTTGATTTGTTTTATTTATTGCATTTATTGTTCATGTTGTTTATTATTGTAATGTAATGCTTATTAATGCATTTATGCCACAGTTGTAAGTTTAGCTTCCTGTCCAGGAATTGTACTGCCCGGGACGTGCAGTCCTTGGGAAGGGGGCAGTGTTACGAATTTGGTATTTAAAAAGCTAATGTTAGTTCAATTATAAATTAAATGGTTTTATTTCTCGCGCAGTGCAGCGCGTGACGAATATTAAAAGAAAGCTAAGCCGGAAAATTGAAAATACAAGAGCGCGTGCATTAAATAAATAAATATCTCTTTTTGATTTCGAGAAAGTACTGGAAAATTCTAGCGCGTGATTTTAAAATCTTATAAAAGGAGGAAAACATCTCAGTTTGTAGTAGTTGCTTAGTTTGTTGTTGTTTAGAAAAACTGCTCTTGTTGATTGTAGCGAATTCGCGGATTAGCGTTCTTTAGCTGTTTTGAATTAAGTTCTATTGGACATTTGAGTAGTTAAAAGATAACTACTGTGAGATATTGTAATACTGAATGATAATTTGAGAAATGTTAAGCATTTTTGTTGTGATAATAATAAATTTTTGTTCCTTTTTCATCAGACTTGTGCATTCATTTCATAACGAACCCGTACGCACGCAACAATATGACTGAATTTATTGCAGATGCTTTTACTAAGAAAAATACCGTAGCCAGTTGTTTTTTAGATCTTGAAAAGGCTTTCGACAAGATGTGGCATGAGAGCTTGCTCTTCAATGTACACCTTGCTCGATTTCCCACTAAATTCATTAAGCTCATCAAAAGTTACCTCAAGCATAGAACCTTTCAAGTCAAAATAAATAACACCTTTCCTTCAAGAAAAGTCATGAAAAGTGGCGTCCCTCAAAGCAGAGTTCTCGCTCCTAGTCGTTTTTGCATTTATATCAGTGACATGCCTGTCCCTGTCTCTAGAATCTTTAAATATGCAGATGATACCGCACTTTTGGCCAAAATCTCTCAAACAACAACTTGTTATTGAAAAACTTGAATTTGCTGTCAATCATATCACGCATTATCTGAACACCTGGAAATTGAAAATAAACTCTTCTAAAAGTAAGATCCTCCTTTTCAGAAGACGTACAAAATTCACTCCAG